TTTGGTCATTTAAATTAGTAAGATTTTTTTATCGATATGTTTTCCTATTTTTCACCGAGGTTCATTCCCCCCCCCCCCAAAAAAAATCTTGATGACTGTAAAATTTACAATGTTACAAATCAACTGATACTGAGGGAAACAACATGCAACGAAGTAATGATTTGAAAAGGACTAAGATCATTTCTTTTTCACTGTTGATCTATTCTACTTGTTTAAACGTTTGATCAAGGGGCTTTTTTGCGTTGACGATTTCTTGACGTGCAAGGCATCGGGACACGTAATATGTTTGGCAATGGTTGTACCGTCTGGAACACTTCTCTTGTGTTATTTCTTAAATGTTTTCTTGCGTATGTCTGACCGAACACTTACCATATTCATAGGGCCCATGCAAACTTTTCAATGCAATACATCTTTGTGAGACACATTTAACCTTCTTTGCAAGTTATATTTTCCATTTTGGGGGGTGTTTTTGGTGCCTTCTCCGTTTTTATGCTAATGCAAAGTTTCATATTCATTAGAAAACCTGTGATGGCATTCCGAGCGTGAATAATGTTACACGGCTATAAAAAAAGGTGCTAGAATTTTGGATATTTTGCCGTCAGAAATTTCTTTTATTTGGTGATTATATGATGTGTCAGTACATGGCAGTAAGCCAATGACCATCCCTTTCCCACAAATGTTTTTAATTAGCAAATTTTGGATGAATAATTTGAAAGAAAAAACCCTAAACTGAACAGTGTCTTCCTGAAATGACATCACAGTAACAGCGTTAGTCCGGAAAAACATGGAAACTTTTAAATGCTTAAAGAAGTGCACATTTGCAAAAAATTGTTGTCAAATGTATAGTTTTCTTACATTTCACAGAGTTGCGCAAAAAGAATTCCTGAGAAAGATTCATTGCACATACCCTTTAAGAAAGAAAGTCAATCTAAGGTTAGAAGTCATCAAATATGATTTACGCTAAGGAATACAGACACGTATGATATGAAGTCTTAAAAGATGTTTGACAAAATGTGAAACATGTTTGCCCATTAATGAAAACGAATGCCCGATCAACTCCTTACTAATGGTTTAGACGAAATTAAATGAACAACGCGATACTTTTAATATGAATGCATCTTTGATAGGGACGAGTGAAGCTAAAAGGCGATAGAATGCTTGGATAGTGAAATTGAATGATTCTTTTTGATTGTCGAATGCCGATCTGCATGATCTTTTAATTTCAATCTAAATCGAATGAGCCAGGCGTTAAATTGAATGAAAATTTTGTGAAATTGGCCGGGAAAACCTATACTTGTTATGCACTGTTCGTAAGATTCTGAGCAATTTTGTCGCTTAAACTAAAAAAAACCAATAAGACTAAAAGCAAATATTTCCATTTAGTTTGAAGCTTGGAAAAGAATCTATCACTCTGCATGCGACAGCGCAGAGTTGGTTGTGCCATTGTTCTAACTTTTTGTGTGTGTGTTTGATTACACCCTAGGCCACTGAAACACTCAAAACCCCAAAAATAGAGAATGGATAAAAACTGTGAACATTTTGCTGATGATTAAATTATGCCTTGTATGGTCTGTGACTAATGGACTTTAATAATGCATTACTTACTTGTTGGCCTGTTCAATGTTTATACAATTTAATTACTCACAATTGAATATGATTGAAGTCCATTCGTAGAAATGATTAATTGTGACAGTTGAAATAAAGGATTATTTGTGTAGGTGCATTAAGTGATGGTTAAAGAACAACTAAAATTGTCGTGGTGGTGATGGATGTTAGAGCAAAGTACAAATTAATAGAGGAAATTAACTTGTGTCAGAGGGGTTATCATGTTTTCTTTGTCATAGATGCTACATGTACAATGTTTATGTAGTGGTAACTGCACTTGTTGCATATGAGATTCAGACAATAAAGAGTCTTCAATATCTTTAACATACTCTGTGTTGTCCAAAGTGATAGTGAGAAAAAAACCCAACTCTGTTGGGACTCGAATCTACAGCTTCTGGAAGTTTTTTCTCACAATCACCCGGGACAACACTGAGTACAAAGTGTTTATTTGCATCGGTGGAAGGCAAAACCTAATATTGAATTTAAATCATCCCGGCGCTAATTACATCGTATGATTAGTTTTATTGCGGTACCCCCACATTCAAACCAGCCAACCAACCCCAGCAACCTCGGTGGTCGAGTGGTAATACATCTGCACTAGTAAGCAGGAGGTCGTGGGTTCGAGTCCCACCCAAGTTTTTTTTTTTTCATAATCACTCGGGACAACACTGAGTATACAGTGTTTATAAAAAAATACGTTAGTGAATTTAAGGGCAAAACCCAGTATTGAATTTACATCACCCTGTCGCATGTATGTACTTGTGCAAAAGTTTTCACATTTCTGCCCTAACGGTTATTTGTTGCATAACTTCATGTATCTCATATTTGCAGCAGCTGTTGTAGATGCTCATTAAGGATATATAAAGAATTAAGTAGTGCTGTGCATTTTCACACAAATCATATCATCCTGGTATTTCCAGCTAAAGGGAGAGTACATCATTTGTAATTTGTGCATTATGTTGGTTTGCAGCAACGAAAGTGCTCAAAATGTAAAGAAGGGTGCTTCACAATTAACCTGATGAAGTTTTGGCTCAGTGAATGCTGTATATTTCGAGAAAACAATATTCTAGGATCTCAATTTGAAAACAAAAGCTGTGGAGTCATGTTTTGAATTGCGCCTGAATTCAGCGTCTGGGAAACGTTCTCATTCAACCGATTGCAGCTGAGCGATGTGCCTGGTTAACCAAAGAATTATAGCAACTGCGCGCACGCCGTGTCAACGCTTGCGCGTGCCTCGCTGAATTAAAAAACCAACTACTAACAGAAATTTCTAAGAATGCGTTTTTAGACGCAACATTGGGAATGGCCTTCTTTCATTGTTTTCTTTAAAACAAAAGCTTGCCAGAAAGACTGGTTTCACAGCTACTTCCATTACTATATTTGAACCAAACTTGCTTTTTAACAGTAATTTCATCATTACTATTTGGATAGGTGCAAATGATAGACTGTAGCTTTAAAGTGAATGTTTTGGACTTCATTGCAACAAAACACATCCAACTACGCAAATCTATTTACATGTGGGACCTCTGTCCAAAATATCATTGGTCGTTCCTAAGCGACAGTAACACAACATGTGTTACCTAGGTGACATTACAAAGAGCTTGTAGACGTGAACATAGATTAAATATACCTCTTTACAAACACCTTTTTTATGAAGATCCACACATCCACAGCATAGGTGCTTGAGAAAGCATGATTAATGAAAACATTGTGATAGCCATGTTTGCGTTACCAACAAGTAAATGCCAGAACCTATTAAAGAACATGGGACATTCAAAATTAATGGATAGCCAAGTCAGAAATACGTGTGGTCCAAAATATAAATCAAGTTATTGAATGTCTAGAAAGCAAACAACCAAACTAACACGATTTTCAGCTGCATCAGCCAAATGATCGTACCGCAAACAATCCATGACCTTTTTTTGACCTCAATGATATTTCAATTAGGTCTATACTCAAGAAGATGGGTGTTGTGACAATAGAAGTACGTGGACTTTGAATTCTCTCAGTAATATTCCATATCACTGGACAACAGTGTGAATGTACATGCTACGGTACATCTACTGGGTTATCTTTTAATGTTTCTTGTCTGGAAATGAATCTGCTTTTTTTTTTAGGTTTAAAATTTTCTGAGGTAGGCCCTATTTTCTTTTTTAACGTTGAAAATAATTTAAAATTAGATTGGTTAATCATTGACATTAAAGATAGGGTAGATTATTTGTCATTTTTGTTTGTTTAAAGTTACAAAAGTGCTCAAAATCCAAAGACAGGTGATTAACAACTAACCTGATGAAGTTTGAGCTCTGTGAACGCTGTATATTTGTTGTATTAGAATATTGTTTTCTTGGAATATACAAATGTATGTACAGCATTCATTACAAATGATCCATCCTACCTTTAACTGGGTTACACTGTACATACTGTAGATGTAAACTCTCTGACATGTCTGAGGTAGCAAATACATAAAGAGCTGTGCTGAGAACATTGCCTCCCTGGTGTATTTGATGCAACTGTGCTAAAACCCTTACGCTTGGTGAAAAATTTCTTATCTAAAATTTTATACCGCACAAAATCTGACAATACTGAGACATACATGTACATATATGTAGCAGTATTCAATCACTGGCTTTTAGTTTTTTTTCAGCAATCACCATATCAAGTTGATAACACCTTTTTTTTAATGGCTCGAAAGAAAACCAGAATTAATGGGGATTTTCTCACTATTTTAACATTATCCATGTGAAGGGCTTTTACAGATCACTTCACATTTTTCATCTGATACTGTCACTATGATGTTTTAATAATGACTAAAATAAACTGGTCGCTTTGGAAAAAGAAACTATTGAGCAGCATATTGAATGACTTAACCCTAATCCCTTAGGCCCTTTTGGGTATATACAAATGTAGGAACCATTCTTGATCCTGTAAAATTCTCCAATTGCCACCGTATAGAAATTGGAGTCAGCCTTATAATCCTCTAAAAAAATTTGAATTTGTTCAATGGAGGGGTGACCATTGCCTCAATCCTTCACGATCCTCCCACAATCACTGTTAATGGGTTGGGGCAGTGCCAATGACATTTAGAAGCAGTGTGGATAATATCGAGCATAATGCAGGGCTCAATTATGCATGACTATAAACAATACAGGGTATAGCCTAGGAACTCGACACAATGCATCCCCCAAAATCAAACGACATTTTTTTGCCATTCGCCCAGCCTCAATCTTCCAAATCCTCCAAAACCGCAAGGAGGATTTTGGACGATTGAGGAGGGTTAGGGTTAAAGAAGAAACAGTGAAGTGTTGTAGAATTAGTCAAGGGGACATGATGTGTCGTACTTAGATACATTCATGCTTTCACTCATTCATGGATTCGTTTCTCATTCATGCATGCAGGTCACATGACGGCTTCACAGAGCAGCCTGACGGCATTCTCCTTGCCGACCCTGGCAGTAGCTATGCATCCCAACAGAACGTCTTCAACGATCTCGGCCAGGGTGTCTTGGACAATGCCTTCCAAGGTAAAAAAAAACCTCCGTAGTGAAGTCAGTCCCAACTTGACGTCATCTCTTCGTGACCCCTCAGATCTTGAGGTGCCAAAGATTGTTCAAAAGCACAACCAAAGTTTCTTACGGACTCGTGCACAAGTACTCCCTCAACGGTTAAAAAGAGAGAGTTGGGATGGACCATATACGTCACAATGAACTTGAACGCATGCCAAGTACTCACGTAAAGATGCTACCGTTTGTGCACATTCAGTTGAGAAGTTATTTGTGTGTACTTCACACTATACGCACTCAGTGTTGTATTCGAGTACATTTCCATGAGTATTAGTATGAGTATGAGTACTTTGCCATGAGTACGTATGAGTACGAGTACTTTGTCATGAGTACAAGTACGAGTAAAAGGCAATTTTTTCCATGCGTATGAGTACAAGTTAAAATGTACTCGAGTATGAGAACAAGTTCAAGTACGAGTACTTTTCACCAGTAGGAGCAAATTTCAATGGGTACACGTGTTTTCAAGGGCTTTTGGCTCTGAAAGTAGGCATTAAATAAATGTGAAAGCCTCCCACACGGTAGAAAATTGGTTCTTTTCCTGCATATGTAGCTCTTAAAAATTGTTTAAATTCTTGCCAGGCGAGTTGAAGCCATCACCCTCGGGCAGCAAACTCATATTTCCGGCCTCGCTCGCTGCGAGTGAGTCGCTGACAGATACATGTATTTCCGACCTCACCTCCTGCGTGTTTATCTGTCATCCGTTCCGAATACTGCAAAACTTGTGCCTGTATACACGGTCTTGGGCGTGAATTGGTTAAATCAAACGTAAGGGTTTGTATGGTGGACATGATCAATGAGTAAGGAGGTTTGTGGTAACACCATGTGAATGATATCTCTTTGTGAGTTGTGTGATTCTGAGAAGAACAGTTGGTTTAACTCGACGTTTCCAACAGTGTGCTCTGTTCGTCATCAGGAGACTGTTTGAAATCAGTTGGAACTGAATAGAATATACAGAGAGACGAAAAATAAAAGAACTATATGTAAAAAATAACAAATCAAAGAAGCAACGAAGAACAAAACATATTTTATCCCTTGCAACAATCTCACTTCCTTGTGTTTTTTTTTAAATTTTCTTTTAGGTTTCAACTGTTCCCTGTTTGCCTATGGTCAGACTGGTTCCGGCAAGTCCTACTCTATGGTGGGCTATGGCAATAACAAGTAAGTAATCACTTACATGTAGAGTTGTTGTCAAGACAGTCACAAGTCTATCACAAGTCAAATCACAAGTCAAATCACAAGTCAGTCATATAACAATTAACAGCATTGTGACTTGGAGTGTGATCCCTAACTACATGGCATATGAACGGGTTAAGGGCTTCTGACAAACGTCTCTTGAACAAAGACATTTTCAAAAATGGGGAACCACCAACATCGGGCCGGATAGATCAGTTGGTAGAGGACCGGAACAGCAATCCGGTGGTCGCAGGTTCAAACCCCACTACAGTCAATTTCTTTGTTAAACTTAAAAAAAAAAAAAACCAAACAATTCAAATTATAATGCATCTAGTCAGTTTCCCATTGTGGTTTATTTGAAAAAAAATTGTGAAACAATTTAAGATTTATTGATTGTTGCAGTGGCACGAATATTTTCCTTAATTACTTTTGTTTTTGTTCTCAGGGGCATTGTGCCAATCACATGTGACGTCCTTTTCAAGACGATAGAAGCCAGTGACGGCAAAACGGTAAGGCCAAGTTGCAACTCCCGTGGCTTTGAGTTTTACCCCGAAAATGCTATTTTGTACAGCAATACAAAAGTTAGTGACTTTTGAATTTTTTGTTTAATGTTTTTGGTGATTTACACGTTATTGTGTCAGAACATGACGAGCCAGTTTTCTGTGAGCACAATTTTGGGTTCACAATTTGAACGGAAACCTCCAAAAAGTGATGAGTGTGTGCCTAAAGTGACATCACAGCAAAAACGCCCTCTGTTGTCTGGAAAAGCATAAAGGATTAAAAATATTTTCAAAAGTGCACTAAACAAATTTTTAACCAAATTAGGGATGTCTTGGTTTTTGTTTTGTTTAACATGATTGAATAATTGCAATGCTAAAAATAAGCCTATGTTTCAGGCTAGCATTCATGTCATGAACCATTTTATAGGGTTCAAATTTGTTAGATATGTGTACATAGTGTGAAGCTTGTGCAAATAAAAGATCATGGACACCGTTGCACATTTCTCATGGTCATATAATTTTGTTACTAATTTTTTTTTTAGTTTCAAGCAGGACAGGTCTTTTAAGATTTCTGCTCGTTGAAGCTGTTTTTCCAAACTGACATTTTTTTAGGATTGGAAGTAAGCGAGTAGATACTTGGAGGCTTGAAGGATGATTTGTTGAAATATCGACAGAAATATAAATTGAGGCATCCAACATATGGCCTACAGTGTGTGAACTTAACGTTTGTAGAAGAAAGTACAAGATGTTTCTTCTTTGTATCCATAGAAATATGAGGTCACGTTCTCCATGCTGGAGATCTACAATGAGCAGGTCCGTGACCTCTTGCAAAAGGTCAACCCCAAGGGAGGCTTGCAGGTCCGACAGAACCCCAAGGAGGGCTTGTTCTATGTCCAGGCACTCAAGAAGGTGGCTGTAGGGAGCTACAGGGAGATTGAGAACAAGATTGAGGAGGGTAAGCCCAATTTTTTTGAGGATTCATAGGTGGTACATACAGGGTGAGTCAGAATGATCGGGACCTCAGTGCACCATTTTTTTGGTGGCAAATAGAGTATATTGAGAAAAAACTGAGTGTCTTATATGAATGGTTATTACCTTTAAGTGGCTAAGGTGAGGAGTTTAATTATGCCATTTCAATTGAAATCTGCACACGGAATTGGGTTTGCCTTTTTTTATTTTGTGTCAATCTTCATGCGAGTCAGTCACCATGACTAGGTTTTTATTTGTTATTACACTGCTTCACATCAGTACCGGGGACGCGATTTCAATAAATTTGTTGAACCATGGAAACCCGGTCAGAGTGTTTTTTAGCATGTGTTCCTTGCTAGTGCTTTTCTTCAAATTGGTGCAATGGATATACATGAAACTTTCACCAAATACGTCCAAAATACCAGCCTATAACGTATCTCATTGCACTTGTTTTGATAATTGCTACATATTAGGGCAGAGATGGTTATTGTGGTTGATTTTAGCTGCTTTGCACCGAAATGGCTGCATTTAGCTGTATACTCCCCAGGGAGCCGAGATGGTATTTAGAATGTTTCACTGCCGGGCCCAATGAGCAGGATAATGATGATGTAGCGCCTTGAACCCCAATACTAGTTGATACGTGCGCTTTATAAACACACATTATACTATGGAAGATTAAACTCACTAAACACCTGATTGATATTCCTCTTGGTTGATATGCCTACAGGTACATCAAACCGAACGGTTGCAGCCACACAGATGAACGCGACTAGTAGCCGCGCACATACAGTGGTGACCATTCAGTTTGACCAGATCAGCAAGAATGACGTGGGGCAGGAAACCAAGAAGACTAGTGTCATCAACCTGGTGGATCTAGCAGGTGGGTTGAGAAAAAGACATGAACCTGTATATTAGGCCAAAAAAATAACCAATTATTGTGTTGTATCACTCAACCGACCCAAAAATCTGGAAATCTCTGGTCAGTTTTTGCTTTTCCTTTTCACTGAAAAAGTTAAGCAAACTTTAACCTTGCCATTACTGTTTCTTTGTAATGCCATCATTTTGCATTTCTTTACAAAGTATACATAGTTCGCATTTACCATATTTTGTGTGTGTACAAATTTAACTTAGTCCTGGTGAATGTGGTGTGATGTACTGCATACATTGTATACCTGTGTACATACACTGTACATCGTATTGCATGCGTGTACACGTATATGTACACAGTATAGTTGGGGGTTCAGTATATACAGTAGCCTAAATGTTTATTCGTCAATTAGAAAATCAATGTAGGCCTTTATGTGTAAGCCTACTTACAAAACACTCTTATTCCACAATTTTTATACTATTTGTTTAATATGGATTACATGTATCAATAAATCTGAAAGTCGAACAAAATCACCTCCATTTTTTTTTTGGTTGCATTTTTCTTCACTATAGACTGTGCCCAGTTCCGTCTCATTTTGCCAGAATGCCTCACACTTATACTGTTCCTGTCATTACAGGCAGTCACTGCATTACCATGTTCATTGATGCCATTATATGCAAGCATCATAATGATGAAAAAAAGCTTTAGGTTTATACACCATCATGTTATTGATAAGTTATCAATACTTGTTTCGCCCGTCGTCTTGCAGGAAGTGAGCGTGCAGACAGTACAGGTGCTACTGGAGACAGACTCAAGGAAGGAGCAAACATCAACAAGTCCCTGTCATCTCTTGGCAATGTCATCTCAGTAAGTTCTCTCCTCTCCTCCTGTTCCATTTGAAACCAAACTCCAAGCTTTAACCCTAACCTTCCCAAACCCTCCAACATCCTCTTTGCAAAATTTTGCAGGATTGAGGTTATATGGCAAAAATGTGTGGCTGATTTTGGAGGATGCACTGAGTCAAAGTCTTAGGCCGGACCTTGTGTTGTTTATGCTCAGCGGCGCATAAATTTAGGCCTAGATTATACTTAAAATTCTCCACACTGCTTAAGGGTATCACTTGCTCTGCCTCAACATATTGACAGTGACAGCCAGAGGATTTTGCAGGATTGAGGCAGTGGTCACCCCTCTAAGGACCACATTCAAGAAATAGCGGATAGTATTTTGCGGGGTTGAGGTAGTATGCTATTTTGACATGGAGGCAGTTGGAGGATTTTGCAGGATTGAGGTTGCATCCTAGCAAAAAATGCATCTAGGGAGATTGGGTTAAAGGCATATAGAATCATTTGCTTCTCTTGCATTTCGTTCCTTTCCAATAACAATTAACACCACTCAAAGTCCAAAGGATCATGTTCAAAATCTAGCCAGTGGATACTACTCTTCTCGAGAAATCAGTAAAAAAAACCGTGCACAGCCTTTTGATCACGAAACACGATTTCATCTTTATTTCCAAAAATCTGTCAATCGACTGATCGTTGGAAATCACCTGATTTCTTGTAAAAAGAGTGCCAAAGTGTGACGTCAGCTGTTATTGTTCTGGTTCACTCTGGTTCGCGCGCTGATGTCTTCACACACTTAAGCTGTGCGAGTGGAACAGAATACGTGCGCACTTCGGTACTCTATGACAGCAAAGCAGATGGAATAATTTCACAGGGTGTTTAGTACCAGTACAATGTCTAATCCAATTATAAAGCTCTTTGATAACAATTTAGTACATGTAGATCACTTTTGGGATAAATGCTATTTGCCTTTACGTCTGGGCGATTGAACAATTTAGTGCCCAATCGTTGCGTCCGTTTTGGTGTTAATCTAAGATATGGAGTCGTCTCTGTCTCAATGTTGTGCAAAATTTGTACTAAATCAGCTGTTTTGTGACAGGCTAATAATGTAGGCATCTGTAAAAACACTGCAGCTTATGGTATGGTTTTGACTGTTTTTGCAGGCCTTGGCTGATCTATCAATGGGAAAGAAAAAAGTACTTGTTCCTTACCGTGACTCAGTGCTGACCAAACTACTGCAGAATGCCCTCGGTGGCAACAGGTAAAGATGTCCCTCCTACAGTTCCTCTCATCACAGAATTTGTCTTTTATTGTTTTGCTTGAAATTACTCTGTTGTAGAAACCTGTGTCTAGTTTCGAGTACAAGGGCAAGTCCAGGAATTTGCGCACGCCCATGTCCCACACTTAACAAAAGTTTAACCCTTTAAGATTTTCATGGATTTCAGTGTTTTTTTAATTCTACCGTTGGGAATCTGCAAGGAGAATACCTACAACAACTTTTATGTTTTTTTTGCGATGATTATGTAAAACAAAAAAAAATGATGTTATGTAAGGGAACAAAAGGGGACCTTTTCTTGGACTTACCAACAAATAAATTCAAAATCGTGGATGTCACACTGTGTTTGTCACATTAATAATAATAATCAATTTTATACATTTATCTTGCGCAAATCCCATAAGAATATGATCAAATGCGCATCACAATTATTATCCCTGTTCATCAGGAATGAGACCCTGCAGCAGCTCATGATCCGCCCAATATGGTCTCTAAGGTACCTTCACAGGTACCCATTTATACTCCTGGGTGGAGAGAGGCGATTACAGTTAAGTGCCTTGCCCAAGCACACAAGCTCCATGTTCCCTGTCAGGGTTCGAACCCATGTACCACAGCACACAAGTCAAACACCGTAAAAATTGAACAACAGCATCTCACATGGTTTCCTTTGCCTTCTGTAAACCAGGTAGCAATTATGTAGGTCAATCAGATGACAATAGGGGGTTCATTACGTACTATTGAACTACTCAAATAGTCCTCAAAAACGTATCCATTCACAATTACAATTTCTCCGTGAAGCATAAAAAACACGGCAAAACATCATTATGTCTCTTGGCTATTTTATGAGTAAACAATCCTCTTTTGCCTCTCAATTCTCTTCTGATCCAAATTATGACAAATTCTGATGACAAATTTGAAACATACACCCACGTCTTCTTTTGCTTGTTCCAAAACAACCAGCAAAACTATCATGATTGCTGCCCTGTCCCCGGCCGACATTAACCACGACGAGACCCTGGGCACACTGCGCTACGCAGACCGTGCCAAGAAGATCAAGAACAAAGCCGTGGTGAACGAGAACCCCGTGGAGAAACTCATCCGCGAGCTGCGCGAGGAGAACGAGAGATTGAAGAGTGCCATGACAGGTGGAGGGATCGTGGCGCCGGAAGGGGGCGTGAACATGTCGCCTGAAGGTGAGTGGTCCAAAGCAATCAACCCTTACCTTCCTGTCAATCAAACAGTGGTGTATCCCTAAAAACTCTGAAATCGTTCACCACGAAGGGACGTTTTATGATATGCCGCTTTACAAGCTAATCCCCATAGTGCTAGGATGTCACCAAGGAGCATCGACATGAAATGTGTGAATTTAGCATTTCACGAACTGCTGATCCCCGTATCTGGCACCTGGTGAAATACGATAAACATGATAAAAATCTGTTTCACGAAGTGACGTGTATCTTGGGAAATGAATTTTCTTAAAAACTAAGCAACTCAGATGCTCACGGATTGCATACAATAGAGTTTAATCTATAATTTACTAGCAAAAACGAAATGGCTTGAATTCTTTCACAGGGAGTAAAAGGAATGAGCCTACAAAAATACGACCAACTTTAAACCTGTTTTTCTCCAAACACAAAAAAATGGGATACGTCGGTTCGTGGTGCAACCGGCGAATTCAAACCTTTCTTTTATAGTCTGAAGCACTTCTTTAATACTGATATTTTTTTATTATAATTTTCAGAGAAAGAGAAGATGAGACAACAAATGATGGAGGAGATCAAGGCCCAGCTGATGGCCAACCAGGAGGCCATGGAGGACTTTGACTGGGACAAAAAGGTCAGCTGAGGTCTTTATACCTCAGGGCACAATTACCATTCGTACATATGAATAATTAATTAGCCATAATTCCAAAACCCTTTGACCTATAGTCATGAAATTTCGTGGGTATGTTCATGATGAGTTGCTCTATGCATGTACCGAATTTCCAAATTTTTCGTCACCCGATGGCCGAGTTCTTAGGGGGGGGGAATCCCCCCCTCAGACTTAGAGATGGTCAAAATAACCCGGCCCTTTTAGGGTAAACTCTCTGATAACATGGATCAATGTCAGTAATTCTTTTTTCAGATGAGTGGAAGAACATGCGCTGTTAATACATACTTCATTGGTGAATCAAATTTGATTGATTTTTAAGAAACAAAAAATTATTAACCCAGGTCACTTTCCGTTTGACTCACCCTGTATCGTTTGATTTGTGATTCATTCCATTAGCATCAGCAACAAATGGAGGATGAGCCAACCCTGGATCACAAGGCCATCAATCAGTCCCGCAGGAGCAAAGAGCCCCACTTTGCAAACTTGAACGAAGACAACATGCTGAGCAATGTGGTCTTTCACTTCTTGGGGTCCGATGAGACGACAATCGGACGGAAGGATGCGGACCCACAGCCCACCATCATGCTGAGTGGACTCAGGTAAAGGGACATCCAGGGGTTGTTGATTCTAGTAGTGCCTTGCAGCAGAGCTGCCAACTGGTACGGATATTCCGTATTTCGTGCGAAAATTCAAGAAAAATACAGAAATACAGATTTTAGTTGCATTGCCCGTTTATTTTTTGAGTTTCATCCCCAAAAAATTATTCCTCTTCTAAATTGCTATTTTTCTATCAATAGAAAAGGTGAATGTGACATCAACTGAAAAAACAGGTCCATGCTTAGTTATTGAATTACTTTACAATGTGAATTATTGGCTGCAGGACAATAATTCCGTTCTCTTGGGGTAGGCTGGTTCTCGTCCCACAATCAGTGTCAATAATGTATGAACCAGGAGCCAGTCTGCTCACAAAGCAGATCTGTTTGTGTCCAAAACAAAAACCTTATTTTTTAGAGGGTTGCAGACGTCCATAAAAAAAAGGAAAAATGAAGGTTTTTGATTGGAATAAAAAAATTAAACAATTATATTAAAGTAGAAATTGAACATGTTTTAATAGGACAAAAAATGGAATTGAGCACCAGAAACGCAACTAAGCTAGGTCTCTGAAATTCAATACGTGTATGATAGAAGACTTTATCAGCAATGTAATTTGTGCAGTATTTGCAATAAAAAATGCAGAATGTTGTCATGGTGGGACGCAAACCCATGACACCTGTTTTAAAAGTGCAGATGTCTTGACCACTTAACTACTCAGCTTGCTTGTAAAAATTCTACATGGCAGTGGGTATTGCTGAAAAGTACTTGTCATTAGGTTGTATTGAGTGTGTTTTGTAATGTTGTCTTGGACTGCATTGAGTATGCAGTGCACAGGAAAGGGGAAAAGTGAGGGAAAGCCGCATAACTAGGGTTTTGTTTGCCCGTTTCAAAATATAATTATTGTCTCGCTCATACATTCACAGACCATTCGTGGTAAAAGGGAGACAGGATTTTTCCCCGGCTATCCGCCCTCTGCAAAATCGAGAGCAAGTCGGTGTGGGGGGCAGGGGAGGTGGTGGATAACATCTTCCAAGAAGGGAGGCTTTTCAAAGCAAAAGATCATGGACACTACCAGACATTAAGTTGCGCTCTTCATTCCTGCTGATGGGCACGTGGTTTTTCCCGCTCAGAATCCCGAAATCTCTAACCCATTGCAATCTGCCACATTCCCCCCCCCCTTAACCCGGTAGTACTGGTGAAGGACCAAACTGAATATTGAAATTGACATCTCTGTTAATAAGTTTTATCATTCTTTTACCGTTCTGTGTACTTCACAGCATTTCAAAGCAGCATGCCATCATCACCAATTCCGACGGCGAGATCACCCTGCGACCCTACAGCTCCAGCTGCAAGATCAAAGTCAACGGCGTTCCCCTGGCCGGGGCGCGGAGCCTGGAACACCTGGACCGCGTCATGTTTGGCTCCAACCATCTCTTTGTCTTCCACAACCCCCTGAACCCCAAGGCCGCCGAGGGCACGCCGCCGGTGGTGGAGTGGGAGTTTGCTCAGAAGGAGCTGGCCGAGGCCAGGGGGCTGATGGCCGGCGGGAACTTGACACAAGGTGGGAATGTGAAAAGGGTAACAAATAATATGAAGTGTGGTATTTGATGACTTGATATTCATGACATTTACCTCAAGTAAACACCTGAAAAACAGAAAGTCCACACTCATTGGAGGGGTCATAATTTAAATCTGATCATCTTATGATAACGTCATTTATATAGACCTTTGGGGAATGTTGTTAGCTACATTTTGATACCCTGTTTGCTACTGAAGACTGTAAATTGTGCAAAATTGATGTCGTTTTATGAAAAATGATGCAGTTTGAAGACTGTAAATTGTCCAACATTGATGTCGGTTTATGAAAAATGATGCAGTTTGAAAAATTTCAAATTTAAACAAAATGTAGCTAAATGTAGCTAAAAATGTCCCCAAAGGTCTGCATAAATGATGTCATCATAAGACGATCGTATTAAATATTATGACCCCTTCAATGAGTGTGGACTTTCTTTTTTTGCGGTGTGTATGATTGAAACCGATTGGTTGATTGGTGCCTGATTTATGTTGTATGTAGTGCCTGTGTACTTATTTTGGAGTTAGAACATATACATGTGTCTTGTTGGATAATGATCAAACATTGTCACCATACTTTCCATTTTCCACTCGCGTACTCTGTAAATATGCAACATTCCAAACTGCATCATTTTTCATAAAACGTTGTTAATCCTGGATGATTTACAGTCTTTGGTAGCAAACGGGGTATCAAAATGTAGCTAACAACATTCCCCAAATGTCTATATAAATGATGTTATCATAAGACAATCAGATTCAAAATTATGACCCCTCCAATGAATGTGGACTTTCTGCGGTGTTTACTTTCATTTTGGCTGTATAGTGAAACAAGACAAATAGTCCACTGCTGACATGTGACACCTCTGATTTCGTTCCGATTACAGATCAGCAGAGGACACAGGATCAGATCGTTGAGCTACTCCCCATGGTCAATGAAGTCAATGCAGTCAGTGAGGAGCTGGACAAACATAAAGGCTTTGAGATTGTGCTACTCAGTGAGGAGGCACAGGAAGGCACCAATCGAGAGACTAAGTAAAGACCTCTCTTGGCTGGTTGCCTTTTGCAATGTAGTAATTTTTCTACTTTGCGTTATGAATTTATACAAGGGAGACCAATATCTGTTGATTAAAGAGTGGCTTATTTGTATTGTACTATTGGCACCAAACAAAAATATTCAAAAGCCGTAGAAAAACGGGAGTAATTTTGAAATATTCTTATACTGTAACTTAAATTGACAGTTCATGCCATTGATAAAGCAGGAAAATTGAAACTTAGTATTCCCCCAAAAAACCTTTTTCTAAGTTGTTCGCCTTTGAGCCCAAGTTTTCACATTATAGTTTCGACACCTCTTTTGTGATAACTGTTTTCATTCAACAATAACACTTTTGTCAGTAATGTACAATATCTGCAAACTACTTGTCAACTATATATATATGGATTGATCTGAGTGTTCTCAGCAGTAATATTCGCGTCATTTATCTTTGCAGGGTGATGGTGAAAATGAAAGATCTCTTGAACCAAAACAGTTGGCTGTGGGAGAGAGGAAAGTTCATCAATCGCAGATATGTCATACAGGTACAGCTACTGCTGTGAATACGGTGATGGGTCATCTGTCTATGTCATGTTGCCTGTCTGTCTGTATTAACAATGATTAGATCCTTTTTCATTGGAAAAAAGTAGTATTTCGCACACATTTTTTCTTCTATTGTTGGTGGTTAGTTGTATTTTAGCTTTCCCAAGCACTGCATATGTTACTGCTTTATAAACGAGCGTATTTTGTTTTGTTTTTTGTGTGAATTGGCATCCATATGCTTGATCTGTCTTACCTGTTATGATTATGGAATAACTTGGTTATGGTCAGCAGTAACCAGAGTTGTAACGAGTCACTGATTTTTGTGACTCGAGTTGAGTCGAGTCATTTTTAAGAAGTGACTCATGTCGAGTCGAGTCATGTTAAAGAAGTGACTTGAGTTGAGTCGAGTCATAAGGTCAAGAAGGTCGGGTCGAGTCAACTCAAGTCAAATAATTATCTCCAGTCAATTTGAGTCACAAGTATTGGAACACTAGGCCTATATACCAATATTTATAAAAGGAGGACATAAATTTAGCCGGCGTTTGAATCCAAGAGCTTTATAACAAATCGCCCAAATCCAATGATGAAACAACAAATTGGAAAACGTGTTTAAAGTCCGATTCCTCGATAGTGCGTTCTAGAACCATGAGGTGGGAGTCTGTGACACTTTGCTTGTATGTTTGTACGCAACCAGCGGCTGCTGTGCCATACTGTATTTCCAAAGTGATGTGAACGGACACTTTGCACCGTTAGTCATTGCAAATACTTTTCGCAAAGTTTTGCTTGTATTTTTGGGACTCGAGTCCTATTGGCCTTCGTTCGAGTCGAGTCTTCTGAGGAGGGGCTCGAGTCGAGTTGAGTCATTTGCTCACAGTGACTCGATTCAAGTCGAGTCATTTACTCTTAGGGCCTCGAGTCGAGTTGAGTCACCAAAAATTGTGATTCGAATCAGACTCGAGTCGAGTCATTGACTCGAGTCATTACAACTCTGGCAGTAACACATGCCCCTGGGATGTTGATTCAGCTGCTTCCATGGTACGTGTGTAATTGCCAACTGCAGATTGAATTCAGATGCAGCCTACATTGTGACTGGACTTGTGATGAACTTCATTACGACACCGTAAATAGCTTGCGCTATATGACACACATCTCTGGCAGACATTTAATCCTTTATCATGTCACCTATGTAGGAGCTGTATCAGAGATACATTGATGGAGATGAACACGTCTTAAAGATGCCCAAGGAGGAGGACCCATTCTGGGAGCCGCCCGAGGATGTTCTGATTGGCACGGCGAACGTCTTCCTTCAGAGTCTTAGCTATTACCTGGACTTCGATGACAAGGTTGCTGTCACTGACTTCAAGGTGATAAAATGTGATACAATTTGTTTTGAGAGGACAACATTATGTCCAAAATAACTTGAATTATGTCCAAAATAACTTGAACCCTAGACTTCAAATCAAGTCGTTAATTATTGACGTTTTGTTCCCCCATGGTACACCGACCTGCGATATGAAAGATACTGCATACTATTCCATGGTACGTGTAACATGGGAAATGGTTTGACTAGAGACATATTTGTACATTCACATTACTGTAGAGGTGTAATTTACAGAATATAAACTGCGATGTGAAAAGAAAACGAGTATCTTTTTCTCGTGAATGCAGCACATAATTTCATGATTCTTACCATATTTCATTATTCTGACCATAATTTCATGATTCAACCATAATTTCATGGTTGCAATCATAATTTCATGACTGCAACCATCATTTTGTGATTCCAACCATATTTTCAGATTCCAAACATAATGTCATAATTCCAACTATACTTTCATTATCCTATCCATAACTTCATGATTCCATCCATGTTTCCATTCATAACTCCAACCAACTTTTCATGATTCCAACCTTAATTTTGTGAATTGCAACCACAATTTCTTGATCTCAAGCATAATTTCATGATTTCAACCATAATTTCATTATCCCATTGTCATTTCATGATTCCATCCATAATTTCATGATTCCCATCCATGATTTCATGATTCCCATCCATGATTTCATGATTTCCATCCATGATTTCATGATTCCCATCCATGATTTCATGATTCCCATCCATGATTTCATGATTCCCATCCATGATTTCATGATTCCCATCCATGATTTCATGATTCCCATCCATGATTTCATGATTCCCATCCATGATTTCACGATTCCCATCCATGATTTCATGATTCCCATCCATGATTTCATGATTCCCATCCATGATTTCATGATTCCCATCCATGATTTCATGATTCCCATCCATGATTTCATGATTCCAACTATAATTTGATGGTCCCAACCTTAATTTCGTGATGACACCCTTGTTTTTTTGGTTGTAATTGCGCAGGGTAAAGAAGAAGGTTCATTGGTTGTTTGCATCGCACCATGCAACCAGAACGGCCAGCCTATAGGAGAGGATGACTTTGTTGATGATCCTAATGAGCTGCTAGGAAAACCCTACCATTTCAAGGTCAGCTTTGAATAACAAGTTTTCAATTCTTGTACATTTAAACCCCGTTCCCACTTGACCCACCAGTTGGGGGATCTGATCCACCTTTTGCCAAATTGTCATGATCAGATCCCCCAATTGGTGGATCAGATCCGGTGTGTAGTGGGAACGCTAACCGTTAAAAGGTGGATCAGGATCAGATCCACCTTTCTTGATCCACCTCTGGACTAGGATACAGATCCCCCAATTGGTGGATCAGATCCTGCAATTGGCGGATCACGATCAGATGGGAAAGCAAAAGGTGGATCTGATGTGGCAATTTGACCTGTCAACATCCGCCCAATGCATGAGAGGCGCGAAAATGTTGCGGTCGTATGAACGTAGAAACACGTTTTTAGGCGTGTAGCTCATGTGAAACTTTCCAACTTGCACAACATGCACAATAAACAACCACTAAACTACGGGCTAGCAAAGTATGTCAACGCACATGCATGATGCCTTTTACAATTTTCGTTGTGTATTCGTCCATTTCTAAACCTTTTTCATTCGTGAGCCTACACTCACCAAAACATGTCACTTTGGTACAGAATCATAGAAAGCTTACGAGTATGCGATGAGAATAGTGCTGATAACGGGGTACGTACGGAGATAACAAATCTGTAGTATTGATTATAGAAAATTGGAAAACGATGTCGTAGTACATCATGTGACCATTTTTAACCAATGAGAAGCTTCAGAACCAGGGAATCCCTTATCGATGCATTGGTTTCTGCCGAGCGATTGTGACGTCACAACGATCACACCAAAATGCCGGATCTTGATCCACCTTTTCCCAATTAAAGTGGGAATATGGTGATAGATTAACTTTATCTTCTGTTTATTCATATGATTATCTGTCTTTTTTTTTAATAAGAACCTTTTTTTTACTTCAAATAAACCACAAGGGGAAACTTCCTAGGTGCAGTAAAGTTAGAAGAAAAAATTGACTGGAGCGGGGTTTGAACCTGCAACCTCCGGATTGCCGTTCCGGTGCTCTACCAATTGAGCTATCCAGCCCTATGTTGGTGGTTCCCCATTTTGTCTCTGTGTTTGTCAGGGGCACATTTATTCAGGAGAACAGGAACTGCATTTAAAAAACAAATCTAATGAACTGCTGACAAATAAATCAGTGTACATTTTGCCCTTTAAACAATGCCATTAAGTCATCCTGCAAGCTGTAAAAGCTGGGTTGTTTTTTTATAAAGGTAATGTCAAATAGTTTTCTGTTTTACTGGCATGTAGTAAATGGAAAAGATTTTTTTGAGAACTCCTCAAGGTAATCTTTATGCCATAAAAAATGAAAACCCCTGAACTGTGTTGTTACCACTGATCTCTATATAAAGACTGGATAGCTAATAAAGAGCCGCACAATGTACGAATTTGACGCCATATTGGTGAGACCGGCTGGTGATCTACAAAGGACAAGTTGCCGTCTTTATAGACAGCATGATTTCTTTTGTAACGTCGCGGCTCACTTGACTTATATTTTGGCCACCACCACTGACCAACTGACCAAGGTTTACTACAATTTTTCTAACATAGTGGTTACTTTTATAATGCCGCAAATCACCTTTTCGGCTTTTTTGAAATAATAATCACTACGGAAATGTGTTCCTTTTAGAACATCATAATATGTGTACGTGACCAAAATGCGCGTCAACTGTTGATACAACGCGCGCGTATTTACGCGTACAACGTTCATATATACGCGGCCATCTTCGTGAGACCGGGGGCGACATGGTCAATATGCAAAGTCTACTGTGTGAATGTTGTATGCATATCCGCTATCCAGTCTTTATATAGAGATCAGTGGTTGTTACATACAAAACTCTCCAAAGTTCACATCTAAGTTCTACCTTTCATGGTACATCTTTCTGTTACCTTTACTAGTTCCTTCTTGTAAATTAGTTTCCACATCACTGCCATACTATAAAGTGCTGAGGGTGTGTAAACTATGTGGGCGTGTTCATCTATTCAAACCATGGATGAAACATTCCAGAGAACAAAAGAGAACAAAATCGTCCACGATTCCCAGCAGACGTCCGCCATCGGGGTTGTGTACAAAACATATGGGAGTCTTCCTAAAAAGTTCGAGTACAAACAAAAGAGGGACAATAGGACGTCCACGATCGACAGTGTGAACGCGCTTGTGTGTGTGTGCGTGTTCACAAGTTGCTCACAAGCTGATCACATGCTTCATGCACGATCACCCCAGAAGCCGACATTGGCCTGTGACTCACGCGACTCGCCCACAAAGTAGGCGACAGGCGGCAAAGCTGCCTCATATTCATACATTCTAGAAAGAAAACAGTCGGTCACAATTCCTTTAAACTAAAATTGCGTATCATTCCCCACTCGCAGGTCAACATTCGCAACGGTGAGATCCACAAGTCGCGCTTCTCCCACGGCCTGAAGGTCAAATACAAGTGTTACAACGAGAACGAGTACACCTGGACTGATGAGAAGAAAGAGACGCTGTCTCCTGAGTGGAATCACAGCCGCATCGTCTCCATCCCTAGCACCACTGAGGATGTCCTGAGCTACTTTGAGAACAGCAGTGTCAAGTTCAGCGTGTACGGCCGGCAGATCGACACCGCACCAGACTCCAAGCTGACTAAGCTGACTACTAAGGTGGGTTGTAGTTCCCCATTTATGAACAGTCACTATATTCCTTTTCAAAAAGTGAGCCACAATAGAGATCCCTGGAATTCAAGATTGAGGGTGGGTAGGCCCACCACCTAGCCCATACACAGACTGCATCTACCGGAACATACACTGTACTACATTGAAGTTTAGGAAATAAACATCTCAAAACTGCAGGGAAAAATATTGCAGCGAAATATCTCAAAACTTACCAGTGTGAAATCGCTGAAATTTGCCATATTGGTCCTATGCCCTTTGACTAACATGTAACACCCTGCAATCTTTATCTTACCACAATTTGATTCATGGCCATTATTGGTCGGCATGCCCTTATGCCCTTATTGGTCGGCATGCCCTTTAACTAACATGTAACACCCTGCACTCTTTATCTTGCCACAATTTGATTCGTGGCCATTATTGGTCGGCAGGTCCCTATCTGTTTTCAAACCATGTATTTACAACTGCTCCTTCACACTATTGTCCCCTTATGTAAGTAAGTAAACTCTGTCAGGCGCCAACAAGGGCGGATCCAGGGGGGGGCCAAAGGGGGCCATGGCCCCCCCCCCCCCAAAACGAAACCAATTTTTTTTTTTTTATGTGACATCGCAATAAAGGCAGGCAATGAGTACACCACCATCTTTTCCTAAAAAAACATTGGTTAAAGTGGTCAGAAATTGCCTCAGATCGCACCACAGAGCATCTAGAATCCAAATTTTTTTCGGGGCCCTTAAGCGGGCCCCGAACCCCACGCCGTAATTTTTTTGACCCACTTTTTGGGGGGACAAAAAAATTTTTTTTGGCCCCCCCCCCAAAATTGTGTTCTGGATCCGCCCTTGGGCGCCAATGTGGCCCATCAGGCCGGCGTTTATCTCTGGTTTCAGAAGCGTGAAACGACTGAGAATTATGTCTATTCCCCCTGGGCGGGATGGTAGTCCATCGCAGGTTACTCTCAAGCTAATGCTGGTAGCCATTTACACTCCTGGGTGGAGAGAGGCAAGTGGGGATGAAGTGGCTTGCCCAAGGACACAACATATGGCCAGCAGCTGGATTCGAACCCGTGACCCTCTGATCATGAGTCACGAACTCTAACCACTAGGCCACACACTCCACTTATCCCCTCATAATTAATATTGATTGATAATACTTGAGTACAATGTTTATTATCAGGAGCTACGACAGATGGAAAACATGCAAGACTCAGGCCGCAAGGCCCGCATCGGTTCCAGTGCAGTAGACGCTGATGGGCAAGATGAGGTGGGACAGATCAAAGGGGAGCTTCTACTGCTTAAGAGAAAGTTTGAGAGGCTGGAGAAGAAAGAACGCAGATTGCAGGTCAGATGGCACACCATAATTGTTATATTTATCGAGTTACTGAGTTTGTACAAACTGTACTTTCCACAGGCCATATTTTTTAATGAATGAGGACACTTTTAAATGCAATTTTGCTGGTACAAATAGTAGAACTGTCACATTTCTTGAAGCTACATTGGTAACTTCAATTCAATCTAAAACATAAAAGTTGTAAAAATGTTATTTTCCATTAAAGCCACATGTAACAAATATTGGCGTGAGCACAAGACTAAGGAACAAATTTACAGAGACATTCCACCTTACGTGGTATCTCTGCTATTGTTGCTCAATGACAAGTACGCTTTGCTGGCCACCGCTACCGTGCTCATATCTGATGTATTATGTTGGAGACTTCCATGCCCTAATAGAGGACAAAGACCTTTCAACTACATTGATGTGATTGGCATAGACACCGGCATGAAATTGAAGACCTTCCGTACATAAAGGAGTAAAGACACCTGGCGTGGTGTTGTGAATGAGATCTCAGTTGCGACCGCCAGATGATGATGACGACAAATATTAACCCTAGCAGAACTCAACCCATCAAACCCAACAGCATGTTTTGTTGGAATCTGTCAGGATGGGTTCAGTACCCCTAAACTGACAGTCTTTGACATTGGGTTGGCACACCTCCAGAATCAAAGTCAGAAATATGTGTGTGTAGTTTCCCATATGGTGTTGGAATTTGCCAGGATGGGTATGGTTCCTAGTAAATCATGCTAGGGAGTTAGGGTTGTTGCAAATATATTTTTACCCCCAAAATATGGTTGTTACAATGACCTCATACACTCGTAAAACATGGCCTAATAAAAAAACAAATCATCACCCACTGTACATGATTTGCTGCCTTCTTTATTAATCTTTAGACCGCTTGTGTTCCTGGTACAGTGAAGCTTTATGTTTCATAATGTCTAACTTCTTTCCCCCTTTCAAATGTATCATATGTAGTTGAAGTGTTATGTTAATGGATAACTACCTTTATTATTTGCAATGCCTCTTTATATTTTGTTTTGTTTTGTTATTTTTTTTTAAATTGTAGCTGCTACCACCATGACTGTATTTAAAAAGTCTATAAATCTCTCTTGAAAATGAAAGGTTTGCGGAAACACCATGTGCAAATAGTTTCTCAACTAAGAGAATGGTTCTTAAAAGAAACAGAGGTATAAACTCGATGTTCCGGTCAGTATGCTCTGACCGTCTTCAGCTCTGACCGTCTTCAGGTCTCTTGCTTTTTTTTAAGGAGATTATTGGACATAATGCATTTTTAAAAATTCTGTTTTCGAATTATTTTCCATGTGCTGTGCCTTACAGGAGATCTGCAAACAGTGGGAGCAGAAGCCAGCAGAGGAACAGCAGTTTGAGCCGTTCTACCGCTCCGTCTCAGCGGTAGCCTTCAGCACCGGTGCCAAACTCAAGACTAGGGTGCACATGCTGAACAAAGTAAGACCTCAATGGGCCGAGTGCTTTCTCTTCTTCTCAATCTTTCACTTTGTAGGACTTAAAAGAATTTTATTGCATCAGGTGGCGAGCCAGTTGCCTGTTTGTATCATGTCTGTTTACAAATAGTGGCTTGTACATATTGTGTTCTGAGTCAGGCCAAGTTAGAGCTACAATAGCCAAGTCAGTAGGCACAGTGGCAAATGCGGTAGCTATGTTGGCCAAGTCACAGTGGTCAAGTCGGTAGTCCCAGTGGCCAATGTTGGTAGCCATTTTGGCTAAGTCAGTAGCCAAAATCGCCAAATCAGTAGCCACAGTTGCAAATTTGGTAGCTATGTTGGCCAAATCAGTTATCATAATGGTCAAGTTGGTAGCTCGAGTGGCCAAAGTTGGTAGCCATTTTGGCCAAGCCAGTAGCCAAAATGGCCAAATCAGTAGCCACAGTGGCCAAAGTTGGTAGCAATGTTGGCCAAGTCAGTAGCCAAAATGGCCAAATCAGTAGCCACAGTGGCCAAAGTCGGTAGCTATGTTGGCCAAGTCAGTAATCGCAATGGTCAAGTCGGTAGCCCGAGTGGCAAAAGTTGGTAGCCATTTTGGCCGAGCCAGTAGCCAAAATGGCCAAATTAGTAGCCACAGTGGCCAAAGTTGGTAGCAATGCTGGCCAAGTCAGTAGCCAAGATGGCCAAATCAGTAGCCACAGTGGCCAAAGTCGGTAGCTATGTTGGCCAAGTCAGTAATCACAATGGTCAAGTCGGTAGCCCGAGTGGCCAAAGTTGGTAGCCATTTTGTCCAAGCCAGTAGCCAAAATGGCCAAATCAGTAGCCACAGTGGCCAAAGTTGGTAGCCATGTTGGCCAAGTCAGTAACCACAATGGTCAAGTCAGAAGCCACAGTGGCCAAGTCGGTAGCCATGTTGGCCAAGTCGGAAATCACAATGGCCAAGTTGGTAGCCATAGTGGCCAAGTAGGTAGCCATGTTGACCAAGTCGGTAGCCGTATTGGTCAAGTCAGTAATCACAATGGTCAAGTCGGTAGCCACGTTGGCCAAGTCAGTAGCCACGGTGGCCAAGTCTGTAGCTACAGTGGCGAAGAGAATCCACTGAAAAGCCATTATTTGTATCCAGAACGGTCCTGGCTAGGAAATGTTTTGTTGTGCAAGGTTGATTGTGTTCAACAATCAGAGTCCAATTCAGCATATGAATTCAGGAGAATTTTACCATTAAACATTTGTAACAGATTCTTTTAGCATTAAAACATAGCCTAGATATGTCATCATTGATAAAAGAAAGTACATGTACTGTATCACATTGAACCAAACGCTCTACAATCCAAGATATTAATTTGTAAAAACGAATCTTTTTCAAAAGTTTCTGCATACCGGAGAGGTAAACTCGTTCAACTATTCCACGATTTCAGGTTTTTTTGGTTTTGGTTTGCAATGGCTGTTTGACGTGAACACTGTGAAGTAGTCACACGACGTTCATCAGAATTTAGAATTAGTTGATATCAGTGACATAGTATGTTAGTGTTTAAAGGTTGACATGAGGTGTGACATTACACAGTCCAAAGCTTCCATGATTGAAATGTGCAGAATTTCTTAGACATGTTTTTAGAAGTTTATTTTCAGTGTGTCTTCTCAAATGTGTTTCTTGACCTTTATCTTTGGTCTCTTGAACTATTGATATAATCTTTTGCTGTGTTTTTTTCTTAAGAAACTATAAACTAACCACTTCTATTCCAACAGCAAGTCAGTTTGCAGTGAAACAGTAATTGGCAATTATGCAATCACTATAATAGTCTGCAGTGCTACTGCAGCAGTGATTGTGCAAAGAAATCAAAGATATTTTCGGGGTAAAGACAAGGCCATTATATTCATTTGAAGGCATGGCAGTTAAAAGCGCCCAAAAGTTTACGGTTGTCATCATTTTCCACAAATTCAGATTTTAGCTTTCATTGAATTTTGGTTTTCTTTGATTTTTTTTATACTTTTTTTTTTGCCATGACATAGATTAGAAAGTCCATAGTCTGATTGAATTGAAAGTCATAAAATGATTTTTAACCCATGTTTGAGATTTGGGCCTGTCACCCCACTTAAGCCCTAGCTTTTTATCTTCTCCCATGAGCAGATGATACAGGGACACAAACAGCTCAAGGAAATGCAAAATGGCGAATCCAATGTAAGGAGCCAGCTCTTCCCCCCTGAACGTGTAGACGAGGGGTGTTGTGAAAGACGAAAACCTATTTCATCATCTTCCACCCATCATATCCATTCATATATCATCATCATTTACAAGGTGGCAGAAAAAAAAGAGAAGGAAAAAATCTTTAAAAAAAAATCAATACATCTTTTTGGGATTAATTTTAAAGCACCTATCAATTTCTATGCAAAACTGTTCTGAAAGTTAGGTAACTGAAAAATATTGGTTGTTAGTCATCCGTATGTGTCGTTTATTTAGTATGGCTATGCAATAGAAATGAGGCATGACACTAAGTTTCCAGATTCGAAGTTGGACTTCAATGCGCCACTTCCTGGCTTCAGAATAGTAAATTCTTTTCGTGGAACACACTTTCACGTTCGTCCATTTTGTTGTAAATGAAAAATTTTATCAGGAGGATTCTGTCAGCGTGTTCAGTTTTGAACTTGAAGCGTCGTCGCCAAGGTCCAAACAACCAATCAAAGAGGAGCCCGAACCTGCCCCTAAACAGAAAGACGAGGCCACGCCCCCTCCCCGCATTGTAGAGGAGCCCAAACCGGTGCCGGCAACTAATGGGGAGACCCCAAAGAGGGCAGAGGTGCCTAGCAAAGGCAGTCAGGATGTAAGATCTAGCTCCAAACAAAAAAAATGACTGTTCATTTCCCAGCAGTATGCATGCTTTCAAATATGCTTTTATTGCCCATTTATTATTTATTTCCTTTTTCAATCCTGCTTAGTATCTGTGCTTATACGCATGCAGACACACTGTTAATTTGTTTTTTTCTCTCTGTTGTGCATGGCTCTTTTTTTTCCAGTTATCGAGCATGATCAGCTAGAAACATTTCATGAACTGAAACAATCGTGGTGATTTCAGTGGTTGTGGATCCATCTTGCTTTCATGTTCCTAGTTAATTCAGACACACGCCAACAAAAATGTCATTCATGTTCCTGGTTAATTCAGACACGCCAACAAAAATGTCATTCATGTTCCTAGTTAATTCAGACACACGCCAACAAAAATGTCATTCATGTTCCTAGTTAATTCAGACACACGCCAACAAAAATGTCATTCAAGTTCCTAGTTAATTCAGACACACGCCAACAAAAATGTCATTCATGTTCCTAGTTAATTCAGACACACGCCAACAAAAATGTCATTCATGTTCCTAGTTAATTCAGACACACGCCAACAAAAATGTCATTCATGTTCCTGGTTAATTCAGACACACGCCAACAAAAATGTCATTCATGTTGCTAGTTAATTCAGACACACGCCAACAAAAATAACAAGGACAAAAACTTTAATTTCTTGTTAATGTGTAGAATTTTGTGGATCCACAGTTGTGCTAATATTGTTTATCAAAGCTCCCATGGGTTCAAAAATAACCCCAGGCATTATTCTGGTGAAGATGGTCGTTATTAGACTAACATGCACATGTATAACCTCACCATTTCAATCCATGTTTACTCAAATTCATTCCTTCTCTCATTAAGGCTTAATCAAAGTGTCAGTACATCAACACTATTGAAACAAAAACAGAAATACAATATGACACAAGTTAGAGAGACTAAGAGTTCCCAAAGGCATTGGAAATTGATCTCAACGCTGTGAGTGAAGGTGTTTGACATTATTGTTGGACAACTTTCTTTTTTTCCAGCTCTCCTATTTATCTCGTGTTTATCTTCCTCTATACCTCACATGTTTTCAGCGACTGAGAAATCCAAATTGAATCGCCAATTATTGGAATTACCAATTGCCATTTGGAACCAACACAATGACTCCATATGTGGAAAACAAAATAATTCTGTTCCAAGTCAAATCAGTCAGGTTTGCTTTTAACCTTCATGGAAGCCTTTGAAAATAAACTTGGTCATTAATAGCACTTTAGGTGACAGAAATTAGATTGGCATTAGTTCCCCTGGCTAAATGCTTGCCCCTCCTCCCCCCCTTAAAAAACTCATGCACCATCTTTGCACGTCATGCTGCTTAGAATAAGATATCAAAATTACAAAGCTTCCTTCCCACATTATTGGATTGTTAGTTTTCTGGACTGCACAATGTACATGTAATAGCTCAGCCTACATATGACCTGAAGTTACATAGTACTTTGAATGCTGCACTTGTAGTACCATTTGAGTAGTTGTTTTTGAAACAGCGTCTTGACATTCTCTTGGCCAATCAGTTGGAGGAGTCTATGAATAAGGTGTTACAATACAGCAGGAATTCCCTTGTGCATTACGGTAAGGCCATTGAGCTGGGAGGGGGGTGGCGAGGGATGTCCCGGGTTCAAATAAATCCCTCATTCGCCAACGGGTACTGTTCTTTTTTTGGTGGGGGGGGGATTGTTTATTTGCTTGTTTTAGCTTGCGTAAGCATGACTCTGTGATTAACCAAAACTATTAGTAGGATGCTCTTTGTGCACACCAACCACTTTGAAAAGATGATGAAACAATCTCCAAAATTCCCCCCAGTCTCAAGTCAGAAAACGAATACATATACATGTATATGCTGAATATAGATTTGGCTCTGTTTTTGAAACACAACACAAGCTTTTCCAGATGGATTCATTTTTTGTGTCACCAGATATTATTGCATTAAGTTCAATATGTTCTGTAATTCTGCTGTTAAATATGCTGAAAAAAACCTTGAAGAATCCATAAAAAAATCGATGTAATATGACCCCTAATGACATCATCATGATGTCATCTCAATTTTCATTTATAACACATTCCCATCTAGGGTATGTACATGGGTATCAACGTAATCGCACCGGTAGTTCTGTAGATATAGGGCTTCAAAAAATGCACCTTATATTGTGGTGTAACTTGACACCTGATGATGTCATTTCAGTTTCCATCTATAACACATCCCTGTCTATGTACATAAAAAAGCTTGAACCCCATCGGACTTGGAGTTCTCTACTTATAAGAAATTAGGTGATGCATCTTTAAGATGACGTCACATGACACGTGATGGCGTCATAATGGCGTCACTCTTCGAGACATGACTTTAGTATAAGGTCTTTGTTTGTGTCAAGTTTCATGGCAATATGATATTGTTTTCTGCCAAAATTTGCCATCAGAAAAACATGTAAAAAATCATGGAATTTGGGATAGAAGAACAAAAAGAAGAAAGAACGAAAAACAATCAGAAGAAAAACAAAGGTTTTCCGGATGGTTGCTCAAAGTTAGTTTAAGAATACAATAAAGTGAAAAGTATAGTTTTGAAACAGCTGGTTATATTTAGTATTTTGTATAAGTTTTCATAAAAGTGTGACTTGCTCCCTTTTTCAAATGGATATCAATATAGCGTTTTGGGAAAAAAACCTCTTAATATTCAGGATGAATATCTATGGAACACATGTACAGTAATACGGAGCAAATTCTTCACGTAGGACATACATCTTTACAAGTTTAAACTTAAACTGGATATTTGCAAGCTTGGCACTGATGGTGTCATAGAAAGAAAAATTTTGCCAGTGAATTGTCACCAGCATGAAATATGAGATGTATTGAGAAAACAACAAGAAAGACGTCTTAGCACTTGAGTAAATGTACATGTATTTACAAAAATCTTTGAGCCAGACACGTGTAATGCACCGACCGGCACCCTTTGTGTATTAACATTTTCTTTTTACAACAGGAGCTGCTGGATGTCAATTTGGAAAATCTCTCCAACATCAAGAGCTTCAGATTTCAACTACTTCTTATTCTTCTTTAGAAAATACTTTTGTCGTTACGAGATGAGTTGTACACACATACAATTAATTGATATATTCATTTCAAATCAAATTAAAAAGAAAAAAAAAAGAACAAGAATATATAAATTGAATATAAAATAAATGTCAACCAAGAGTATCTCAACACTCTTGGTGTTGACAAAATTATTAACCAGTAGTTTTTGTTTCTCTTAGAACATTGCCAAAGCAAACCAAAGTTTTCAAACTCCCTATAAATTGTTCCAAGTGAAAAATGTAATTTTTCCATGTGAATTCGATTTCTTCCCCCAAATTTGTGATGAGGTTGTTGTAAACTAAGCCTAATGTAATTTAGGGGGAAATGGTTCAACGCGTCATGCACATATTATCCAAAACATGAGAATGTTGTTTTTGAAATCTTCTGGAGGAAAAGTACCAAGTACCAAGTTACAAAAAGAAAAGAAAAACCTAATGCTAGAAAAGAACGACAACATTCTTCAGCCTTTCATGTCAGCTGTGATATACAGCAGTTCTCAAATATTAAATGTTTTTTTGTTTATGTTGACACTATGGCCTGGTTTCCTGAGACCAAGTCAGTTTTTTTCTGTAATTCCAGTGTCATGGAAGAAAATGTAATATCTGTGACAGAGCCAATCAAGCATGATCAAGAGAAATGATCCAAAACTCCTAGTCTGTAATCTCCTTGACCATTACTCAAGTTGATGAATATACAACATTTGAAAATAAATTTTCAGGTTGAAAAGGCTGAGCTCTTAAAGCTGTGTCACAGACGTTGCATTTTTTCCATAATGCTGAAAAAGTGCCTTGCTGATGAAGTTTTCTCATCCATTACAGAGCATAGTTATATCCTGGATCCGTCCTAACCAATTCCCTTTCCTTATCCTGATTTCTCCTACCTTTTCCAGATGAGGCAAATCCACGAAAAAGCCACCGGACAAAAATCACAAGTGTGCTCTGTCATGTAGGGCTAGCAGTTTACATAGAAACAGGTGGAGCTTGAATACTTGTTATATTGTTACATGCATGGGTGTACACTGTTTTATGAAGGCAATTAATATGGGTTCTCTATCTCTATAACATTAGTTACCCCCAATAGTCTGTCATCATACAAATGCATTGTATAGTATCATACATGTACCTATGTCAACTTCTGTAAAATTTATTACGTAGATAAGAAGCTCATTATAGTATTTCTATACACATTTGCAAACCTGACATACGTACACAACATTAACACACTACTGTATTTTTCAGTCAAAAGGAAAGAAACCGGGGGTCTGCTCATAATTGCGACGCCTCATAGGTCCGACGCCTCATAAGTCCGAAATTTCGGACTCATGAGGCGGCGCACCTAACTGTATGAGGCGTTGGACTTATGATACGGCCCCGTTGAACCAGCCTATGTTTAAATGCTTTTGTCTTGACATTTAAAAGTCCTGCCCAATTAAAGTCATACAACCATATACTAGTACATATTGCATCATAGTTAACCTATAGTTATACCTTGTACAAGGTCAGAGATATCCCTGCAAACATAGTCAGAGAAGATGTCCAAAAATTAGGTGCTACTCCAGCTGATCATGTTTTTAACGAGCCTTTGAATAAGCATAATTTCTGGCAAGATTAGTTATAAGCAAAGTCTGTCTTTTTTATGAACAGTGAGCACTAAATACATAGAAAAACTCAGAAATCAAATGTAAACATTCCGGCAACTTCATTTTACATAAATGAAGACGTGTAGGATTTACAAAATGTATAAATGAACTCATTTAAAATTAAGCAAAATGTACGTAACATATGTAGTAGTCTTCTGTCAATATCAGTGACAAATTGCAATCATTTCATAAATTCGAGCACACACACACACATCCTTAATAAATTGTAAAAACATGTATCATTTTAGGCAACATATCACCAAAATGTACAGGTTTTCTAAATGCTCCATCTAACAAAAAAATCTTAAATATCCAGGAACGTGTCGCTTAGTCCTACTGAATGAGTCTGAGGGTTTAAGTTTTACTTTAACTGATCAGGGTGTGGCATGCATCAGAAACAAATATTGGCTGTTAAAAGGTGTTTGCGTGGAAAAATTGACAACGTGATATTGGTTTACAAAAAAGGTTTTGATTTGAACAAAGTCTTTGACATATCACAACATAATTGGTTGGCTGGTTTTTTTTGTAAAAGAAAATAATGATGCCCGAGTGACAAATTTTCACAGTGAAAATATATACTCGTACCAATGAAAAGAGATTTGCCTTTTTGTGTAGCCTTCAATGAAGGCTGTGTATGTGCTGTATCGGCGTGGGCATCCCTGGCCGTAGCCGGGCTCCACGTCCACACACACGACGAACCCCGATCCGTCATACGCACTTAGCCCATAGTGAATATATATCGGAGGTCACTCGCACATGTACATGTACACACAGTCGTGTTTTACTATACTCTCGAGGACAATGCTTTGTCTTTTCCTTTGTCCCTGTAATATAACACTCTCCCATAGACTAAGCACACAAACGCACGACCAAGGACCGATTTCAACAAAAGATGAACTCTCGAGGACAACAAAGAATCTGTTGTTCTCCCTTTGTCTGTCTAGTCCTCAGGGTGTATATAGTTCACGTACACCCAAGTGTACGTGGGCTGGGACTCTCACATGGGGGCAGTGCGTGTACATGTACAGTACAGTGTATACGTAAGGGTAAGCTAGCTATGACCAGCAGTTCGCGCAAGATGATACAGCATATACACAGCCTTGCATACAAGGCTATTCTTGGTGATGCTTTTTTCGGACCCTGTAAGACTCGTTTTGTAAGATTGGGTAACATGTCAACTCACAGTTTCTATCAGTGTCCATCTGCTCTTCTGATCATATTCACATTTTCCACTACATCTCTCTTTGTCATCAACTAACTCAAAATTATCCTTCATGTTTAAAGTCCAAGGCCAGTTCATTCTTTACAAGAAGGCGAAAGTGAAGCCAGTTCGCAACATCAACAACTGTACAGTACTTTCATTGTGATGTTGAGAAGAATTTGTCTCACCCTCATGTGAAGTGTGAACCATGCTTAACATCTGCTGGGAAATGAAAATCAGTCTGTTAAAATGACCAATGTTGGGATATTTTGGTGCCTTTTAAGTTAACCCCTTTTAACATAATTTATTTCATTGTTTGCAAGGTGTTGGGACTTTTTTCAGCTCACAAGTTGGATTCTAAATTAACCCTGCTAAGTTGATCCTGCTAAGTTGAACCTGCTACTTAAGTTGAACCTGCTGGTTTATTTGAAAGTATTCTTGAAATATCATGGCCAACAGCAGCAGAATATGTGTTCAGTCTTCGTTTTATAGATCCATGTGTTGAGATCCCTGCATTTATCAGTCCCCATTGTGCATCATCTGACACATCCTCGTAAATTCAGCAGACGTTTTTAGTTCAGTTTTCAGCATTACCTTTAGTTTCAGTTTACACTACCCCGACGCAAAATTCCACCTTCTGAACAGTTATAAGTTAGTTGTAGACTTTGGGATGGGTGTTGAAAACAAGTTATGGTTGAGACCAAATTATCTGAAGAAGTTTAACATTTCAACCAGAATGCTTTAGAATTAGGGAAAACATGTTGAATGGTAGATTTTAAAGTGTGAAAATGGAGAAAAGTATGCAAAATCCTTACAACATCGTTAGGGGTGGGGGGGGTGGGGCTAGGAAGCTTAAGTGCCAACAGCATTCATGTAAAGCCGCATCAGTCTTGACCAAATAGCTTGACTGTTTGCAAAGATATTTTTAATAATGAAGCACCAGCTGAGATGAAATATTGTTTCCATTGCAAAGTATGGAGACCTTACATTTAATATGTGAAAGATCCTCAAGCAACATGATTGAGTAGCACTAAATGCAAGAGCCACCTCCCTTGTTCATCATACCTCTTTTCACTCCTTAGTTCCAGATTTAGAGTGAGACAAGGGGCTGTGACCAGTGAATGCCCACACACACAGACCCCACTACAACCTGTCCTGCACCCCCACCCCATCTTAACCCACCCCACCCCAATCTTACCAACCCCACCCCCCTAACCCCACCCCACCCCACCCCACCCCACCCCACCCCACCCCACCTAACCCATAACCTGTCCAAAATGTTTGCAAATGACAAGCTTTGACATTGGTTATGTAGTGTGCTATAAATTAGTTCTTACCATATCACTCGGTTTGCCACTTCACCACACACACAACTATAGCTGCTGTTAAATTGAGAGTCACTGGAAATTTGGAGAAATAATGTAGAAGAATGCCTCAAATTCGTTTCACCTGCAGATGTGTTGGAACATGCTATTGCAATGCACAATTGTCAGGCGTTTTCATTATCAGAAATGTTCACCGTTTTTTGCTAGTGTAGAGACGATTCGTCACCGACACCACGAAGTAACACCCATCTACATACCAGTAAAAACTAGCAATCGGAGAAAACGGCAACTAAAGTTGAACGCCTTCTAAAACAACACTTTGCGTCAAAACGACAGAGGATTTTCAGTTGGGTTTCTCGTTGTGAACACTTGATGAATTGAATTTATTAAATCTGCTGTTTTTCACTCGTTTGTGTATTAAATAAACAAGAAATAAGAGAAAAAAGATGAGTGTTAGTTCGTGAAACCGAAAAAGCTGCGAAACTGTGAATTTTCGTTTTCACGAAGTAACACTCTTCAATGTATTTAACACGAAGAAAGTGCAACTTCAGGTCAGCGCGCGCGCGCTCATACAACTTGTTACAAGAAGAGTGTTACTTCGTGAAAACGTTTTTGCTCACTTATGAGCAGAGTGCGCGCCATGCATTGCAATGGAAAATGGAACTTGAGTGTTACTTCGTGAAAACGAAAATTGTCACTTTTGCGCAAAAGTTACCATGGATACTTCGCGTATTTATTAAAGTAAAGCTCTTGAAGCTTTGAAACTTCGTGCAATGGTAGGCCTTGATGAATAATGTTAAAAAATCAAAAAAACTAAAAATCTAAAAAAATATGCTTTAACACGGTTGAGTGTTACTTCGTGGTGTCGGTGACGGATTGTTTGAGGAAATTTGGTTGTAAAGTTTTTGAGAACGTGATGTTGCATCTGTTTCGCCAATTTTCCAATTGATCTCACGGCAGTAATGTTTTGAATAATCATATATCACACTTCCATTATATTAATTGCCCAAGTTTGCTGTGCTGCCTAAATAATATACAGCTTAACAGTTTACTTAAATGTTATTGCAAATTTACACCTGTCCCTTCACCCATGTAGTTGCATCAAAATACCATCAGTGGTCATTCATTTTCATCCCTGTTATGCCATCAATGAATTACAAAAATGTTGTTCATCATGTTCATAGCGTCATATTTTAGCTGATCATGCTCTTTATCATTTGGTCTGAAGAGTCTCCGCTTGAATTTGGATCCAATGCATCAGATTGAAATCCTCATCTCCAAAACATCCAAAATGTACTTACTTTTCCTTGAAAACGATTACTCCCAATGATCATGATAATTTTATACTAGCAAGAGCTATATAACCCTAACCCTGAAGGGCTCGTTTGAATTAGGCAGATTCTTGCTCAAGTGAGCCTCGTTAGGGATAAAGGACAAGGAGCTACGGTACACAATTTGTTGGATTTTGTCAAATACACACAAAGAAAAAAAATAAACAATGGTAATGAAGTTTTGAAGATCAAACCTTTGCTGAACATTCTAGAGAGTTCTAGATTTAAAGCCAGTTATTGTATGTTAATGAAAATCAGTCCTTAGAATGGTGGTGCTTGGATCTATAACGAAACCTGACTCTTCAGTATCTTTACGTGACTCTTCATTTGCATGTTGCATTTGCGTGTTGCTGTAGAGAATCAAGAGCTATGTGTGTCATTGTTTAAAATGTACATTCGTGTGCATCTGAATTATTTGGCTATTGCTGACAGTTTTACACGTTTATGGGAAATAGTTTCGGCCACTTCCATACGTACTGTGTAATATCCAGCTGTAGCCAAGTAATACTCAGTTGGCAACATGTTCAATACCAATCGGCTTTGGAGTGATGTATGAAAGGATTTGAGGACCTGAAATTGTCCAAATAACAGTTTGGGAAACAAGACCATTTTCATTCGTTTTTATTTGTGGGGGATTTGAGACAAATTTGCGAAATTATCACATAGTCCAAGGAAACCTTATTTTAAAAAAAATTTAGGCTAAAGGCTTTCGGGGGCAAGATGGAGACCAACTCCTCCAAAAAGCAAGCAAACTGACACATGGACAATCGTCTGAAGAAATCCTTTCATCTGATCTTCTAATTCTTATCATGCATCACATTAGTCTTAGATTCCTCATTGCTTTACATTAAAGCCAACCTAACCACCTTTTTTTAATGCAACAAGTCCAGGTGTACGTGTATAAGCAGTGTGACCCATGTTTACAAACCTTTATATCACATTTTATCAACTATTGGGAAAGCCAACTCTTCAAAATAACACTGTGAAATCAGTTGGTAAAATAGTGACATTGCACTGTACATTTGACATTAGGAAAAAGAAAAATAAGTTGGCTGGTTTGCAGATTTGTTTTACATGGGTCACATTGGCTGTATTGACCTGCGCAGTCATCCCATTTACTGTCCTGGATAAATTGCATACAAATTTATCCGCAAAAGGCTAATTTCTTTAATATTAGTTGCAGGATTCTAAACAACTTTGCTTGAATCTTCCCACAATGAAATTATCAGCATTGCTTACAAACTGATAACTTCATTATAGCAAAGTTGCTTCAGATTCTAGCAATAACACTCCATACAATGGGCCTGAGTGCGGATATGCTTGTCTGCAATTTATCCTAGATATTATTGAGATGACCCTTAAAATCACAATTATGAGAATGGTATCATTGTAAGCCTGCTGGTAGGTTTGACTGCACATATTTGAAGAAGCTAATCCTGTGAAAGCTAAACCGTAGCCCTCAAGGTTTCATTTGAATTATGCAGAATCTTGTTGAAGTGAGTATAGATACGGATAAACGACAAGGAGCAATGCTACAGAATTTCTTGGAAATTTCCCGATGTTGTTTCACTATGCAGTATACATGTGTCTTTCCTGTATTATAGGGTTCCTTAACCCAACCAAACTGTCGTATATGATTTAAACTAGAAAAAAAACATGCAAGGCAGCACTGTTAAATTTTTGATTTCATGACACAGTATAATCATGGTTCCAAGTTCTTTGGGTGTTTCTTTTTGCTCAGAAGTCCTTTCAGAACAGGCTTGCTGCAAGCTTGTCAAAAAACTGTAGATTTGGGGAAAGCAAAAATCTAATTCCCTGGTCAGGTTAATTTACCAGTGTATGCATTTTACGCAGTCGGAAAACAGTTATCCGTGCCAAGCTCTTTGATCAAAAGTGCAGTCAAAAGAACAGCAGGCTTACCTTCATACATATCCTAACCACAATGAGATACGTTCCGTGCTGGGGATTTTATGCTTTTTTTCTCCCCTTTTCTTTTCCATTTTCTCCCTGCTGGTCATACAATTACGGAAGGCGGTGAACGGAGCCAAGGTGGTGCAGACCAACGGCGACCAGAAAGCTCAAGGGGGTAGCAAAGCCTGTGCCATCATGTGAGAGGAAGGAAAGACATTCTGACAGTGAATGTGTGATCAGGTCCCACAAAATGAGTCTTTTTTTCAGATTTGTTTTTTGTTGATTAAAAAATCAGTGGCAGTTATGAAACTCAAACTCTCAGATTTTGGAGAAAACTAAACAAAATTTTTCGTCTTTCTAACATGTCTAATGATTCTGGTACAGGCCTACCTAAGTGCAAGATTACCCAAATGACTCATTTAGTAAATCCTGGTCACATATTCCCACTTTACCATTGATTTGTGTCTGGTACCTTTTTTAAGAGAACGACAAAGATCACTGGTGAATTGAATGTTTATGAAGGGTACCAGCCTTTTTTTAGCCTTTTGAAAAAATCTAGATTTTTGATTAACTGAAGTGGAATGTTTGATTTCTAAGATAACTACATTGTAGTATCATTGAGAATATTTGAAGAATAAAATGGATGAACAGATGTTTTTGTCTTATAGTTTTGCGAAGATGAAATTTTTGTATATTTTTGGACGAATAGAAATTATTGCACGCAGGTGCATCAAATTATATGGGCAATAACATTGAGAACATATTGTGTAAATTGATACTAGTGATTTACTTATAGTACGGATTTGGAGTTAAGGATCTAATAAGTTAATTGCACTGAATATATATTAGGTTTGCCCTACACCTTCGTATTTTCCATCTGTAAAATATATTGCACTGCATCTGTTTAAGGTGCAAAGGGTTTGTCAAGCAAATTCTGGCCTTCTGATGTCTGTACAAGGGTACCTTCAATGGTAATTACTCACCTGTAATACCATTGGCAATTTTAAAATCTCGAGAGGGCTGAATATGAAATCAATTTGAAGACAATCATCATCTACCGGTAGATGATAATCACCCACTAGATTAGAACCAAAAGCTTCTGAACCAACATTTTCACATTTTCGCATGAGGATTTTGCAATGTGCTGCGTGTAGAATATGGAAATGATGGCGAAATTATAGTTGCACTATATTCACACCAATTGCAATGTATATCATCAGTATTTGTTTCTGCAGAATAGATAGTTATTATTGATTACCATAGATGTGTGTATATTTATGCAGCTTAAATGAAGAAAATTTCTTTCATGTTAAATTGATGTTTATATTTTTGCAATCTACACAGATATTAGCATTTATTAGAATCACTTTCAGGGTAATGCATAGATATACTTAGTGTACTATGACATGTATATGCGAACATTTTACTTTCTCTTTTCATGTCACATATTGTAAGTGCACTATGCGGTTTATATTTTATTTTTAGAAAAAAATCTGACTTGATTCATATCCTTGATTAAATGTGTCTGTGCCTTACTCCATACTTGTATTTTTTTAATTGATACTTGGCAGACGAAGACGACAAAATTGAAGGTGACAAATACAAATATCAGAATTTAAACAATTGTAGCCGGTAATTTAAATCTATTTAAAAATATGATTTTCTGTGTACATGTATACGAAAGAGCGCAATTTCTTCAGCTATATTTTTTTCGATTCATTCTGTGAGGAGAAAAGTTGTATGTTATATTAACTTCACAGCGTTTAATTTGTACTTGGATCTTAAAGCAATAATGAGATTGAAACAAATGGAGAGATTTCTTGTTGCTTTCAATTTTTATACAACTATTTGACTTTCTCATTTGGAAAAAATAAGTTAAGGTATATGCAGGACACTAAAAGTAATTTCATTACCACTATCTTAAGATAATTGAAGTCTCATTAACTCTCCTTGTGGGAAGTTTGTGTGAAACCCTTCAAATCTCCACAGGTCATCAGTTTCAGGTAAAGGAATATCACATACAGAGAGTCACTGCACACAAAAAAACAGCACTGTGGAGAGCAGCGAAGCAGGACCGAATCTGCCTGCAATCTGCCTGCTTGCTGAGCCAATTTGAAGTGTGGGCGCTCAACTCTTCGGGCGAAAGAGGTTTTAAAGGGAGTGAAGTGCAGAAGACTAGGAGGGTTAATAAGATTTAAATTATGGCATGCATTGTACATGTACTTCAAAGTACCCATTGATCTCATTTATTGGCTTTTTTTTTAAATCGTATTTCTACTTTAATATTGATGGCAGTAACGTGTGCTTTCACTTATTTTTTACAAGCTCTAAAATAGTTAAATATCTGCACATAAATAAGTTTATGCCGTCCTGAATAAAAATCCTGATAATACCGTCCATTTCTAAGTTTTCGAAAATATCTTTTGTAAATAAAACACATGAACAAATTGAAACGGAGTTGATGCTTATTTATTGCGTGTATATAGGCCTACATGTATAAGGATCTGAATGATAACACAACGGCTACCGTGGATACACATGACTGTCCTATACGATGAGACGTTTATGCAACATCATATGCAGATGTTACCTCACTGGTGCTCGGTGTAGATATGGAACTACGCTCTCACTGTCAGCTACTATTTGTACAGCAAACTATTGCGCTCATCAAGAGTTGCCGTCAGAATTTTCTTCTAATATACAGTCGACTCTCGTTAGTACAAACTCTATAATACAAATTCTTGTTATAACAAACATGAAGCCTTGGTCCTGACTGTGCATTTATGTGCACAATGAATTGGATTGATGTTCCTCTTAATACAAAATTCTGATATAACAAACAATTTGGCTGGGTCCGAACGAGTTTGGTATAACGAGAGTCGACTGTATAATTAAACCTATCCTTCAAGTTGAGTTTATCCAATAAATGTGTCAAGCCGTTTTGGCTTGACACAACTCGGCCCCAATGCATTGTACCAGCCAATATACTTCATCACAGATTTCAGTTAATGAAGATGGACTCAATGTTATGAAGCTTCTACAATTTGTCACAAATGCTCCACTTTTTTTTTGCTGGATCGTTATTGTGTCAAGTGATTGGCTGAGTTACTGACGGATAGACGATTTCAGTAGTGTTTTCACTAGATTGCTTTGGTTTGTTAGTATTTCGTTGAATTTTGATGCTCGCCCTTCAATGAAAGTTTGTGTCGAAACGTTTTCCGCAAATCACTCATTGATGGCGTGCATCTAATCTTTAGTGTGTTGTATCATTCATCTTAGACTTGTTATATCACTTAATGAAGATGGACTCACCATTATGAAGCCCGCTTCAAACTCTGCTGCAAATTTCTGTTTCTTTCTTTGTGGTTGACATGTCATTTCTACTCTGAGAAGCTAATCAAGGGGTTGACCAAATTTATAATATATTTCAGTCTCTTGAGTGACTTCAATACCACAGGCCAGACAGCACGACCGTTGTGCATGTTTAGTGATTCAGCCACGGTATAAAGTTTGAAATAAATTTCATCTCATTGGTATGTTGTAAAGTTATTGAGTTATTGAAAATTTTTGTATACTCTCATAATACAAACAAGATCACAATTAAAGAAGGCCTTGCCAGTTCTCGTACAATCTCCATTCTACCAGTATAGATCATGGTGCATGCATGTATCCGTCAACAATTCAACACAAATAAAGCGCCTCCCTCAGTCACCAATGGCAATAATCGGGAAATGTATTGTAATCCAAATTTAATTTAAGCCAAAAACTCATTGGCGACACACAACTCATAAAGCATTTTTTCAGTGCAAGTAGATTTCATCTCAGACTTCTCAGAATCTCAGAAAAGATAGATAACATTAAACAGAAATGTAATAACTTTTGGCCAGTGTCGTAAATACGGGGGGGGGGGGGGAGTGGGGCACCTGGCCCCCAGGGGATGTACTTCCCCCACCCCTCCCCATTTGAAATCTTGCCAAATGAACAAATAATTTCGCGCCGTCAAAATTTGAGCGCTTGGAATGGACGGTCCATATAATTATCTAAAGACAGGTATGCATCAACCTGTAGTATTACGTACGCGTACGCAAAATGTATATAAAACGTTTGTCATGCCAAAACTATTGGGCAAACTACGTCCGCAATAATTACACATGGTTGTATAAATGTCGAGTGCATGCACTGTGAATTTCACGAACACATGGAGCTCGCCGTTTTTTGATAGTGGTAGTTATGTGCTGCAAGTTTTGAAACACTGAAAGCCATACAACTGAGCGGGTATTCGCAAGAAATGTCTTCCCCGTGAGTAGTGTGTTCTTCATAAGTTTATTAGCTGATTATGTAGCTGTTCATAATTTCATTTATACATTCATTCTTGGGAGTGTTCTAGTTGAGGTAGTTATTGGGGAAGCCCCGCTCCAAGTGTATTGAGAACAAAATCCACTGTTTCAGTCATACCTTACTAACGTTAGTTTGAGATGGCTTTAGTATTTACTCCAGCGCTTATGCTCAACAATTCGAGATATAACGCTGGAGTGCAAACTAGTATCCATATGTTCAAAATGGTGGAGTCCCTAAAAACAGACTCCTCAAAAATTGGTCCTTTTCCCCTGTTATTCCAACCCAGCTGACATGAAACCTACCTCATACCGTGCACCAGTCATTTACGAATCAAAATTCAGTTGAAACAGAACAACTTGACAGTTTATACTAAAATATGAAAAATATTGATGATTTCCGTGTCTGACACTAAGCTGTCCTCAATAGTAGTGCTTGCCATACTCTCCACAAAGAGCCAAGGCGATCGACATGGATGAGTGTTTCTTCCTTTTCCGGAACGCACAACAGAAAAATCCAGCCTTTGTTTTAGTTTTTATTGGTAAGATTTAGAAATAACGGGAGCGTAACTCCATTTGGTTTGTGTTTCGAAAGTATAACAGCTACAGAGCATTTACGTCAATATACATGCAGGTAGGCCTCTATTAGTCCAAAAATGAAAAAATGTAAAGGCAAGCCGCATTTCAATTACATGGTACGTCATTCCAACCAAATTCTCCTGCTGCTGCACAATCTTCATCTCCCCAACTATTATTAGGTTCACCGGTCCCCACCCTCCAGTTTCTGTACTCCACATCAGTAGTGATATCTTTACACACCCATGAACCTGACGCACAGAGAAAATGTCAGGTTATATTTGGTTGGAATTTTACTGAGAGGCTTTAAGAATTGTGAATCATGTTTGAAATTTGAAATATTTAATGAAATATTACGTCTCTTTTTACAGGGAAAGAAACATTGTTTCCGATCAATAACTTGGAAATTGTTCAAACAATATGAGTTGACAAACCTTCAATTTGAAGATCATTGCAGTCGGTCCAAAAGTAGAAGTGCAGGGTCTTCAGAAGGAACTCGGTTTCCTCCTGAGACTGTGGCATGACCAAGACACTTCCCAACTTGATGCACTTCTTTTTTGCATCGGCCCATGTTGGTTTCTCTCTAAACAAACTGCCTCATCAACATGGTATTTCGTGTTTTGAATGTTGACAGAAACCATATTTCTCTCAAGGAAAAAAAAAATGAAAAGCTTAGTATGTAGCTCGGAGATATATTTAAAGATTTGTTTTCGTCTCACTGTTTAAGACATCATGACTTGTGCTATGTATGTTTTTGATTTATTTGAAATTCTGGTACTTTAAGACACTGTGGAGGTATTTTATTTTTCAGTACCTACTCATTCCAGTTAAAAAAATAAATTAAAAAAACTGTACCAAAACAAAAAGTATATTTCATATTTATTAAAAATGGCCTAATTTTCAGGCTTAGCAAGGCCTTCTTAGAAGCAAATGACAGAGGAACAAGAGACAAACATTGAAGGGGACACACAAAACATGCTGGGTTGGAAGGAGAAACACAAAAGAGGGATGGGGCAGACCAGTGTTGGTGCAGATTGAAAGGGGATCAGGGAGCAAAGGAGTGTGGTAGGAAAGATCAGGTCGGGTAGAAGGAGCGGATGATGCGGGGAGGGGGTGGTTGCATGAAAGGAAAATGAATGTGGTGTTAGGCTGAATGGGGAGGAGGGGGTAATAATAGGAGGGGGAGCAGGTGGGTATAGGAAAAGGGTACAATTGGAAGGGGAGGGCAACGATTTGTTTTTATACACACTTCCTCAATGTTACAAACTTATACCGTGATTTTGGTTTGGTTTTGGTTTGGTCAGAAAGGTGATATTAATCCCCCCCCCAAATATTTTGTGAAGATTACCCTTTTCTATACAAATGCCCTTTTTTTCAAAAGCGGTTAGCCCCACCCCTCCAATATTTGCCCCCTTTTTTTACAAGTGCCCTCTTTTTTTTACCAGCTGCCTTTTACGAGTGCCCTTTTTGGAATTTCGCTCGAACTTCGGCAATTGTGCCGCCCTGAAAAGCGCCACCTATGTTCCAATCACCTCTAAAGTTTGAGAAGAGCTTTGAACTGTATTAAAGTTTGACTCCATAATGCTTTCTACACGTAGATCGTTTTGGATAAATTTAGTGGCAGGTGTGCACTCGGTTCCTTTTTGTGGATGTAATGTACATATTGATGTGGCTGTGAATTTTGTGCAAAACAAAGCTGTTTGTAGAAAAATAATATATATTATGAAGTAATAGAAAATGGAATGATTTTCATGGGAAATCTTTTTTTTTTTTTTGCCCGATGCGATCTGCAGCTTTGTGTTCATACATACTAGTGTATGTAAAATGCCATAACAATCTTGCCCCATCGATACATGTCGTTAAAAGTTATGATATGCCCACTGTGTGACTGTGTGAGCCAATCGATGAGACAATTTGGGTTAATGAGTTGTCAGGTAAAATGCCATGCTGTCCAAAAGAGGAATTTAATTTTCTGAAAACTGGACAACTTAAAGAACACTTGAAGGAAGAAAGACTTAAGTCGCGGATCACATTACAGTACAGCACTTCGGATTTAGATTGGACCAGAAAAGTGATAGGAACAAGTACTATCATTGATGAGATAAATAATGACTGCAGCAAATTGATTACGCACTACCTCTCTCTCTTTATTAAAGTTACCTCTAAAGTTCATATGGATAGGTTCAAGAAAACTTTCTGATTTAATCTCCTTTATATTCTAGTTACTAAAAATGAAATAAATGGATTATTAAATGGCAAAGTTATCAAGATGATTCACTCTATGACTACAATCAATTAAGTGCATATGTTAATTTCACCCGAGGGAAAACAGTTACTTTGAAATTTGACAACAAACGACATTTAGGGATATTAGATGCATTCCTTCCATTAGTGGATGTTTAAGTGGTTATCAAACAATGAACCATATGATGTATCTGATTTTATTAATTACATGTACGTGTGGGTATCAAGTAATAATTATGGACGCTATATGGAACTGCCTAATAAACAACTTAATCTAATTGATTGATACACGGCAGGCG